TCCATTTCTTTGAAATTTTATTAATAATATGAAAATTTTCTATTATTCTATTTTTCATCTTGGAATATTTATAAATTATATTTTTTATACAACATCCTGAGTGCTGCATACACTCATTTTTATATTTTATATTAGACGCAGGAATTTATCATATTACTCAATATAACATATTTGTTCATAAATACTGTTGGATAATTCATTCAGTAGTAATATATAGAAATGTAATACGAAAATAATAAATATTAATTAATATTGTAACACGTTGATATACATCATATTTTTTCTGAATTCATACTTTTCAAGCATATAATTTATATCAACATATATAAATAATGTTTTTCATAATCATTAAGTCACATAAAAATGATAAAAAATTATATACTTTATTTTTATCATTTCATTCTTCACTTCTCATTATGTTATACATACGATCTAAGCTAATATGTATAATTTATTAGAGATTGTTATATTAATTATTTTTCTCTCTGTAAGAACTCATTGTGTGTTATAATATAACAGCGCAATTTAATGAATCTACATATTCCAGAAATGTTCTAAGTCAATGTTAGATAAGTAGTTAGTTCAGTTCTGTTATTAATTGATTTAATTTTTCAATGAATTTAGCGTGTTATTTATGAAATTTTTATCCTATTTTTTGGTATATATTTATTTTTTTATGTTTCACGTATTTCACATTTATAAAATATAACAACATATAGGAATTAATGAATTAAATTATTTATAAAACAGATAAAATAAATAGGTATAATATAATATTTCAATATAGTATCATATACTATTATATTGTATTAACCTATCTATTATCATTAGATGCAACGTTCATATATATATGTTTTTATTACAGCATTATACATAAATATATATAATATAAATAAAATAATCATTCATATGTATTATAAAATGTTCTGTATAATAAACTATAATTTTTTACAATAAAGGATTAAAAATTATATACTAATATATATTTATTTTTTATGCACCTTTCAACTTTTAGTGCTGTATGTTAATATCTTCATGTCCCATGACTATTATTATAGTAAATATATAACCTGATAATTTATAATTATTTAAAAAAATAATTTTCATATGCTTTATAATGGTGAATAATAATATATATAATAAATATTGTATAAACATACTAATTAAACATAAAAATATCTCTATAAAAAATTGAATATTTATTATATGTTACAATAGTATATTTTATGTGTATTACAAGATTATCCCAGGAATTATTTGTAGTACATAAAAGCTTTTATTAGAAAATACATTATTCCTATAAAAAATACTAAAAAAATAAAATTAAACAAATGATTAATTTTTTGGAATTATCATATAAATTACATTTAGAGTTGTATAAATAGTATAGAACATTTTTGGATTTTTAGCAACAAAACAAATCAGAAAAGGATGCTAATAAAACCATTTTTTTTTATTGTTCCAGGTGCATGAATAAATATATATAGCATATATTATTTTTATTTATTTAAGAATGCATATATTTGATTAATCATTTTGTTTTTCATTTATATATATTTATTCATCATATATAATTTGCATAACTATATTTTATGTAACCCTAAAATATACAATAAAGAAATCTAAAGTTATAAATTTATATAAAATAATAATTTATGAAAAAAATTAAAATAAATATGATATATGAAAAAATAAGAATTTTATGACATTTTACCCATGCTTATTTTAGAATTTGTGTTTTTTGTTACATGGAATGAATATATCCTTTAATTATAGCAATCGGGTAAAAATAATATAAGAATTAATAAATTTAATATTTATAATACACATATATATGAAATCTAATACATTAATAATTTCTGTAACATGAATGTTCTCCAATATAGATCAGGCATCTCTTATATGTTCAGACTTATAATATAAAAACACTTTTTATAACATATTGTACAAAATGTGCACAGCGCAAAATTATTTATTAATAAACTCTAATGCACTTATCCAGAATTATCATTCATTACTATTAATATTTTTATTAATTATATATATGTGTGTATATTTATATAGTGATAGTAAAATACTCAATTATAATGCTTTATGTATAAATCAAAAATTATAAACATTTTTATTGCGTAACTCTTTTTAATTATTGCTAATTTTTAATGAAAACAAATGTAGTGTAAAAAAATAAACTATACAAAATAATAATTTATTATATAATTTTTTTTTCATTTTATTTTGTGTGAGGATAACTAATGCAGTATATTGTGTTATATATAAAAGGATACGATAAATGTATTTTATTTACTTATTAATATCATTAAATTCCAATATTATATATCTATTTTTCTACTATGTATATATACATTAATATGCTTATTCCTCTTGAGTATTTATATCATGGTACAATATATGAAATGGATTAACAAGAATTTAAAAAATTTTTGTAATATTTGTACATTATAAAAAATAATTCTTGTCCTAACGATATAATAGTTATACTAATACATTTATTATATAAATACATAAAAATAATAACAAACATTTATGAATTTGTTCTCATATATTTATATAATAGATAGTATCAAAGAGCGAAAAGTAGTGTATGGTTTTATATTCCTTAGCGAATACAATTTATATTATTTGATTTTAATATGTCCTTATTCGTGAAAAAGAATAAATTCATTTTTATCTAAGTGCTGCTTTTATTTTTTTTATATATTATTCCTTTTGCATTTAGATCAATTATAATGATATATTTCCTCTTTGTACTGAAGGTTTTAAGTGGGAAATAAATTATCATAGGCCTGAAAGTATAGCCAGTGCTTTAACAGAATTTTGCAGTAACTTCTACAATAATGTAGAGACATGCGCAAGAAAAAATGCCAAATTTAGTCAACATTGTCAAGTACATACTCTATATTTAGAGAATATAAATAACAATAAATCAATATCTAATGTAAAGACATGTTGTATATATTTTTTCTACAAGCTAAATGAACTACTAGAGAAATTTTCATGTCATTGTGAAGAAACAAATAATTGTTATCAAAAAATGGTGAATCTGAGCATAAGTTGGAAAAAAAATGATCAGATTTCTGAATTATTTTATATATGTAATAGGTATATTAACGAGTTAAATAAAAGTGAAATTCCAATCTTTAAAAATCTTGATGAAATCTGTAGCAATTATGACAAATTTAAAAAAAAAATCGTGCAAAAGCTTCTGATATAAGGAAATTTATACAATGTATGGATCTTTTAGCAAAAGATATAAGTTATCATAAAAACAGTTTTAAAGAATTGATACTGCTATTTAACAAAAAATAAATAAATTTTGTGAGTACGCTAGATAACACTAATTCCCATGAAAAAGCATTATTTTATTATTGCACTGATAATGAGGGTAAGGTCAAAGATATACTAAATCTAGAAGAGGTAAAACTAAATTGTGATACCTCTATACAGAGATATCCAATTACATCTGCTCTAATAAACTTAGATTTTAGTGCACAAATTAATAAGAGGTGACCTTTTCATTTTTTGCAATATTGAT